TCCGAAACACGCATACAAGACCCTACTTCAATTATCTCTCTGCGTTCTCCTGAACCAACCTCAACCTCACTCTTCACCCTCCGTGTGTCAGGCGATTCGGCATCCGAAGCTCGCGGTGTTGCTGGCGTTGGGATTGCGCTAAGTAAATATCACCTATTCTGGTGATACGAAACAATGGGGTAGTACTAGGACGTAAAGCCGAGAGAGGGAGGTTCCGAATAAAACGCCAGTCTTTCTCATTGAAACACCAAGTTTGTAAACAATCGTCTCTAATGAAAATTAATTATGATTAAACATTCACGAAGATAAAGAGGAAGTGTTCATTTTCGTGAGCTTTTCAATAAGCATCATCGATTTAGACGATATACCGTGCTGAGGACGACTAATTCTGATTAGTGATCGATTCTGTCTCCCGGGAGACCAAAATGAAAGTTAAAAACACATGCTTCTGTTCCGATTTTCGCTTATCTTTTCAGTGTTGACCGATGGTAATGTGTCAGAATTCGGTTTTGATGGACCCGCTAGCTGCCGTAAACCAATCGCACACCCATACATTTTCCGTCTTGATTATGGCTTATTTTGTGGTGTTCTTCGCTCCATCTTTGGTCTCTTGCTCGCTCTCTTGAAATATATGAGAGAGTTCCCTAGTGTTTCAGAATCAGCGGTTCCCGAATTCACATGAGATCCGTTACCTTTCGCTTCCTACGGTGCTTTGATCTGCATACAAGAACAACAGATTATCCTTGTATTCTCATCGTTGACGTTCAATTCACTGTTGCAACCCTTTTTTCACCCACAGAAACACGGAGTTCATATGCATACAAAAAACGATTTATGACTTGGTTCATGTGTTCATCATCAACAACTCATAGAACCCCCAAAATTTGTAAATTATCGCTGGACTCATTCTTGAAATGAGTTGGTAAGATATCATCAGATAAGCTACTTGATGAGCGGTGGCAAACACGAGACCACTTGTGTGCTTCTAGGATTATTTTTATTCTTCTGTTCAGATGCTACCGATTTTCCTCCCAGAATACAATTAGAATGGAACAACTGGCACATGTGCACGTTTGGCTGATTTTAGCCGTTCAATCATTTATTCTTTCTGTTCTTCGGGATCGACCGTTTGTAGTTGGAACCAAACCGCATGCCTTTTGCCATCTTTGAATCAGATTTAGCATTCATGTCAAACTGAGGTACTAGGTAGAGATCTTAGTCTCCAATTATCCTCAGCAATGAACATCCCTTAAATTGGCGAGAAAATCGCTTTCACTATTTACGAGCAGAACGCAAGCGTTTACCGTCGTGATGTCCGGTAGATTTATCGTGCGTAGCCAAAGCCAACCGACCTGATCCGGTGCTCGCCCGGTCGCAGCGCTCATGAACTATGTCTGCGATTTTTAACCACATAAACAGCTGCTATGCAGCGGTCGCTTTGCGATTTTAAGAGTTAACTAACCACACTGTTATTCAGACGGGTTACCGCTGTTAGTGCGGTGGATGCTAAAGTGCAATTTGCTTTTTCATATTCTATGCTGCTTGATGACAGGCAAGAAAAAAATTTATTTCGATTTCTCATTCACAAAATGTTCTTTTGCGTTCCTTATAGGACTCGACCGGTCAGAGTGTATTTTCGGAAGATGTCCCGGAAAGTGTTAATCCATCAAATGTGTTCCTGTGTCGTGGTGTCTACGATTATCGACTGAAGCGCGTGTGTCGCAACGTGAATTTGCACGTGTTACCTATACACTCTCACTTCTTAGCCAACCGACATCGCATGAGTGGTGGACGATCTCCCTCCGCACATCCACCTTCTCTGTCACCAAAAGTAGACATGGATGAACAGGAAAGGCATGAACTTGTGACGATAACATGCAGTCCAAAACCTCCGATCTTAGAGTTATCTGATCCTCCAGTGGCGGTACCTGTTGGTCCAGTTCCATCTCAGACACCTCAGTCTACTGGAAATCAATCTCCTTCGACTGAACCATCACCTGCAAACTCTCCATCACTTTGCATTTGTCTGCCTGATTCCCCGACCCCAAACGGGCGATCATTGGAAAATGATTCATTAGCCAACTCCCCCAAGTCTTCCACCATACTGGACGACACCCCAGCAAAATCATCAAGCGAACTAACTGCTCTTCCAGTCGGCGAGGACGCCATATCCCAACCAAGAGTCGGCTCCCCACTGCCCGCAGCCCCAACTGATCGATCCTCCACACCACTTAAAGGGCGGGAATCGGTTTCGGTTTCCGACACAACCTGTCCTCCGCCAAAGCCATTAAACAGTGTGAATCTGTTGCATGCAGATAAACTTCCAGCCACAACCACCCACACAACTTCAAATCCAGATCCAGTCATCGTCCATACTACCGTATCACAGCCATCACTTTCCACTCAACTCACGTCATCCATCACCCCCCACACTAACATAATCTGGGTGCCGTCGAATCCAATGATGCCACTGCTCGAATCGTCCGTTTTGGAGACTAGTGCAGACTTGTCTGTAAATTGGGCTGAACACGGTGAACAAATAGCTCTCTCATTGGATTGTCGTACCGCCAAACCCCTGGGAACCGCGCCAACGGTTTCGCATCCATCAACTAATTTGACCTATTCTCTTGACCAGATTCATCCCACTTTGTCCAGCACTGTCAACGCGATAGCATGGACCACCTCACTCGAGCGTCCCATTGATTCCAGTCACCTCCCCACGCTGTGTGTGGCAACGGGGATCAC